TAGAAAACTAATAAATTAGGTTAAACTAAAATAAATTAAATATAATAGATAAATATAAAAATATTTAAAAATAATAAATGAAACAAAAAAAAAAATACTAATCTATTTATTAAATTAAACCAATGACATTGCACAAAAGTTGGGGGATGCAAAGTGAGGGTTTAAACGCTTCTTTAAGATATAAATAACCAGTCTCCCCATCGGCCTACTAGCTTAACCCTTTCTCCATAAAGTGAGCCTGACTCCACCGTTGTCGTTCGAGATGATCGGTGTCTATATTCTCTCTTCCCCTGCAACTTAGCTGTCAAGGGGTCTTACTCTTTCTTCTCCATCTTGGGCTAAGTCAATTTGTAAGCAGTTTTCTTTTAACTAGCTTGAATCAATCGAGAGCAAGAGAGTTGACACTTTACAAATCTTTCATTTCATTTCATTTCATGTTGGAATTAAATTACATAGATTTTTCATCAATTGAGAGTTACCTTCTAAAGGCCCTAACCTTTTCTCTTCCTCCTTCCTGAACCCAGAATCCATAGAGAGAGGAACTCTCATTCATCACTCTCAAACATGTTCTTCCACATGGTATTGGAGCGCAACATGCAGCGTTCGCGCCACTTTGGCCGCAACGTCCGTGAGATTTCATAAAAATAGAACCACTGTAGAGGATCTGTTGGATTGTAGATAATTAAATTTAGTTGGTTATATTTTGTTGCAACTAAATCCTAGTTTTCTTGATGATAAATTGGATGGTTTGTTGGTTTTAAGTTTTAACCCCCCCTACAAAAAGAAAAAAAGAAAATAAGTTGGGAATGTGTATTCTGATTTTTTTTTATAGTAAAAAATGGTTAGGTAAGTGTTAGTATTTGTTGTGCTGTGAGAGAGTCGAATTTCGAAAGTAAGTGCAGTCCACCTACTGCGCAAAAAGCAGCGTGGCCACCAGTGGCCACATGTGGTCTGCTCTGATTTAAATTATAAATAACTAACCTTTTTCTCTGTTTATATGTATTCTTAATTTAATTGTTAGACTCTTTCATTTGTTCATATGCATAATGTATTCTGCATCTATATGTTCCATATCAATGAATAATAGATGGCAGACATTAATTTGATTCAGTTAATAATATAATTCCAATGGCCTACACTAATGTGGAATGAACTCATACTAGAAGAGGATTGTTATCTTAATGTTTTATGCCATCTATTTCTGGTGCTGTAGTGTAGCTCATCTCACCTAATGAAATATGTTCGAAGGGGTTGCATTGATCAAAACATTTATATATATCATGAAAAAAAAAGAAAAAAGAAAAAGAAAGAAACATGCCTACAACTTCCAAAATTACAATAAAAGAACAAAGTCACAACATTACTGAATTTTATTGAGAAAGAATACCAAAGCAGGAAAGCAGACAGAAATCAACACCATTAATAGAAGGCTGTATCAGGGAAGATAGACATACCTTACTACAGGCCAAGCTACCCCACACAGTAGACGACCCAGGATAAACAGGATAGACATACCATCCATGAATTTACACTTCCTTTTGACAACAAAACGATAAAAGAACTTGATTTGCAACAAGCTACTGTGCCTTCAGTCACCAAGTGAGACAATCTTTTGATAGGAGCCTCCTTTTCATAGTTTTCAACCACTTGCTGGTTCCTTTTTCTTTTTTTCTTTTTTTCTTTTTTTAATTAATCTGTTCTTTCTTCTCTTTCTTGTTCATAGGAGTATTGGACTGCTTTAAGATCAAAACAGATTTAAACCCATAACCTTCATCCCAAAAACAAGGTTGTAATACTTAATCTATAACAATTTGGTTAACTTCCAGTTGGTTGCTAGTATCCTTTATCAGATGTATAACCTAGAAAAGTCAATGATCTATTAGTTTATACACATCTACCTAAACATAAATTTAGAGCTTATTTGCATTAGTACCGGCTAATTACAAATACTTGATTCAAGGGTCAAGATAAGGGATTGAAATAGCTAAGCACGCTAACTTTCAAGTAAAAAGAAATGCTATTTAGTTATAAAACTACCTAACAATATGTAGGGTTTTTTATTCTAATTTTCTTGACAAAGTGACAATTGAGATTTAATTAATCTAATTGATTTTAATTGCAAGTAATTAAATTTTAATGTATGAAAACTAAAATTACAATAATTAAATCTTAATGAAA